ATATTTATATATAATTTATATCAAAACTGATAGTACACAGTATAACTGGAAGAAGAACTGAACTTAAAAAGGATATGTTGAAAGAGGATGGAGTTTGTGAACGCAATAAATAAAGCCCCCTTCCCTCCCCACCCTCTCCCTACCCCAAAACAAAAAGCTGTAACGTTCATGGAGAATTGTGCACAGCAGATATTATAAAAAAGTAGATTCAGGAGCACATCCAATTATAAATGATTGTTAGGAAAAATCATATAAAACAATGGAATACATAAAAGTGTCAAGAGTAATCGTTAGGGTGAGAAATTCCTTGGTGGCCAGATGCCCACGGCAAGCAGAATTATCCTGGTCGCATCAGTAAGAGGTCGATGTCCAAAAAAAGTGTGTGTTCAAGCACAGAAGAGGCTTCTCCAGGATTTGAACAGCATGGGCAGGTGGAGTGTTTGAATTTCATACCCCGATTCATAGTTTCCACAATTCCATGTGCAATTTTCAGAAAGATTCGTCGTTGACTGCTGACATGTCCCCCTTTGGCGTGGAGGAACGGGACGAGCCCTTGTCTGTGCTCTCAGAGCCCGAGCTGCTCTGATTCTGTTGTTCTGATCCTGCACTGGAGGTCACTGTAGAAGACGACGTGGAAGAGGAGCGAGTCTTTTCTTTAAAGTCTGTGATGATTACTGTGACATTTCCCACTGTGACTGCCAGCTGCTGTGCGGTACTTCTGTCCACATTTTTCAGTCTGGGTCTAGAATAAACGAGAAAACATTTACGAAAAGGATACAAATAAACGAGAAAAGTTTATTAGAAAAAGCCTTTGATGATAAACTTGGTGGGACTTGTCCTCCGCTCGCCGGCACACACGGCGATAACTGGGAGCAGCACCTCAGCAGCCCTGCAGAGCCGAGGATGAAGGTTTGCCCTTCCGCTCCCTGCGACAGCGCAGGAACAGCCCCGGAAGAAAAAACCTGTCCTGCTGAGCTCTGCAAAGGGCGCTCCGCTGCAGCCTCACCCCTAACGTAACTCTGCCAGAGAGGAGCACACTCCGGCAAAGCCAAGCGGACAGGAGCCAGACGGAGCGAAGGATCTCCTCCCCAAGGGGCAGATGAAAGAGTCCTCTTATCTAAATTCACCATCTCGTCATGTGCCCTGATGTTATGAGACAAGGCTGTGACTCTGCAATACAAAACCACATGAAAGCATTTGACCACGGCTCTTTCATTCCCATATTGGAACTCTGCAGCTGCAAACAACACAGGCACTGGGACAACTTGGCTTCTCTTTCAACTGCTTTGAGCTTATACAAATCAGATGCCCAATCACCCGACGCATAAAGAAATCGCTCAAAACGTTCCCTCTGGAACCAGGACTACTGTAAATAAAATCCAGAATTTCTTGCAGCTAACACTTTTGGTTAGGGGGAAGAAAGAAAGAAAAAAAATAACCAGAAAAGAATACGCTGGTATTTATAGCTCAGGATTATCTCAGTAATTTGCATGCTGTGCTATCATTCAATTAGTAATGTAGCTAATAAGGGTCTAGACTCTAGGAAGCTGACGTTCATGCACATTTCAGGGGCTGGTCCAAAGCTCTGACACAACAAAACTTGGACGCTCCTCCAGCTACCAGCAAATTCCAAGTCAGCTGCAGCAACTGCTGCAATTTACAGCTTTTGCTCCTAATTAAGGGTCAGGCTTAAGCAGCAGAATGTTCCCAATAGGGAAATTAAAAAGGAGAGTCTTTACACATCAGTGAAAAGCAGCTTGCTGAGAACTGCCTTATTCCAAGGGATGGAGAGAAGGTTAGTTTACTTTGGGAACAAGATCCAACTTTTAAACCAATCTGTCTTCCCTCCTCCTCGTGTGCAGCACACTAGGCTAGTGCAGTCAAAACAAAAAAAAAATAAAGAGGAAATTAAGCCAACTTTGTATTTGCCATGCATACGCCATGGCTCACAGCGGTAAGTTAGCAAGGGAAAAGTAGTAGTAGTAGTAAGTAGTAGTTACCCAAGTGGTATTCTAGAATGACAGAACAGGAAGGAAAAAAAAAAAGTATTAAGGACAAAAATACAACAGTAATACTTCCACAAACTTCCTTATCAAAAATGACTTTACTGCACCAAAAATAGCATATTCCCATCTAAATCAGGAGGCTGTTTCAATTTTTAGCAAGTACCACAGAAAAAGCATTTCTAGTAGATAGAAAATACAATTAAAATACTGCTGCATTGGGATGACCACCACTAAAAACCTGAAACAGCCCCTTTGTTCAGCGGGCAGTTTTTTGAGCTGTGCTTAGCAAATTCCCGCAGCGAGATAAACGCCCACACGTGTGCGTTGTACCTACGTGCTTGTAGGAGTTGGCAAATCCAACACGTAACCACAGGCTAGATTAAAATGATGTCACCTTGTTTGTGGGTAACAAGAAAGGGCAGCTAGCTCATCAAGTTTTGGGATTTCCGTCGGCTTTCAGATAGCGTCTGAGCAGACGCGGGCTGTCCCCAAAGCACTGGCAGCAAACCCAGCAGCGAGCCTTCCCGGAAGCATAGTACGTGTACGTATTTTCCTCCCCAAGCCCCGAGTTCCTCTAGGAAACCCAATTCTTCCTGTAATTTGCTTGGGTCATTTGTTTTCTCTTGTACTCAGAAACAGACCAAAAAAATTGCCGGCTCAGATACGGGAACAGATTTTACTGCCTTCATGTTTCTACAGGGTTGAACATGCAGTCCTGCTATCGCTTGTCAAAAGCCAGCACTGCAAGTAGTATTTAGGGGGGAGGAAGAAAAAAGGAGGGAAAAAAAGAAAGTTCATACGGCCTAAGCTGCACTAAGCTTTGCACCGAGAAGCTCCTGCTACCAGTAGCCTCTGAGACAAGCCACGCACCAAGTGCCGGAGCAGAACTGCCCGCGGGTCTTTAAATACCACGACGAAGTAACATGGGAAGACGGGAGGGAAGCAGGGCTGAGGTGCAGCATTTCTCAACAGTCCCGCTCACAAACACATTCTCAACATCAGTTTTAGACTTGAGCCCTCCAACTAGTTCTGGAGGAGGTATTTGGGGTCTCCCCTCTGCAAGGAGTTGATGAAGCACAGATGGAAACCACCAGACCACCTCTTCAGCACATGCTTACAATTTTTCCTTGCACTAAAAGAATCTGAATGGGTAGATTGTGACTCTGAAAATCAGCCCTTTTAAAAAGGCTCTTGACAGCATTTCTGAGGGCAGTGAATCACAAGAAGAGTTCCACTGAAGTAAACATTTAAAAAGACAGTTTAAGAACTGAAGGAGATGATGCATCCCACAAAAACATCCAGCTAGACCTGATACTATTAAGGATTAATTAGGAATGACAAAAGCTTGCCACAAAACATGGGCTAAAAGACTCTGCAGCAGACAGAGCGACTCCTTCAAGGAGTAAAAAAAAAATTATTTGATGTAATCTCTCAATTTAATATTATGTCATTAGTCAAGTGCACCAAGTCTCCTTCATCCTAAGTCTCAAAATAAGCATCATTTCAAAAAGAACAGGACAAAAGAAAAATTGCAACAAAGCTGTACTTCTCCAATCAAATCAGGAACGGACACTTGGATCTCTGGGGGCTGAGGACGAGCTAGCGGCAGTTCCCACAAAGCGCTCAGTGTTCTAGACAGACAGATCTCATGCTGCCCTCCCTACATTCAAGGGAGTTACTGTGTAAACAATACTCTCCTACTAAATATTTTCATGCGACAATAGTTTTCTGCAGAGTCACGTCTCGCCAACCTTAACGCTGACAGCAGCATGAACCATATTTCCTACGTGCTTTACAAGTGTTTGCAGCTAACTTACATTGCTTCAGTTCACAAGGCTTCGCTATAAAATCCTTATTACAGCACCTTTTCAAGAGAGATGCAATGCTCCTATAGCCCACCCAGGCAAAGCACCCAGTTGAACTCCAGCTCTTGTAGCTCTCCAAGTTCAAAAAATATAAAAAACCTGTTCCCTGAAGCTGAGTTTTTGATTTAGGAAATAAAGCACAAGACACCACTTAAAGAAAACAAGCATGAAGCATCAGTATAGGCAAGACTAGGAATAAACCTCTCCCTACTGACAGCTACTCATCTGAAACATAGACAAATACGAAATCAACCATTTATGCTTTTTGTTGATAGCAAGATTCTAGCAAATCTGTTTGTGCGCTCTTTTCATTCCCATATACTTGGAAAATTACCTTGACAATCACAGTGACTGAACAATGGATAAGGAAGTGAGAAGGTAACCTCTGACACTGCTATCGAGTGATGGTAAGAATTTGAGAAACACCACTACAACTGCTGGTTAATATTATCTTTTTTCCCCTCGCTGTGTTTCACAGTCAAAAGCATTTTTGCCCAATTGACAATACAACTATTTTAGTGGGAAAAAAAATCCCCAAAGCTGAGGGGAAAACAGACCACCTATTTCCCGAATCTGTACTCAGCAGCAGTGTTTCATTGCTTGCTCATGAAGAAGGCTCATCATCAGTGATGGTCTTGCCATTCTAACACAGGCAAGACCCTGTGGGTTAGAAGTATTCTGCCTCTGCCCACCTAAACAAACCAAACAACCACCAAAAAAACCCAAACCCTCACCAGACCTCCAAAAAACCAAGACCAGTGTCTGCTATTTACCGCAGTTTCATATACCAAGAGCTTCACTTTCTGCTGAAGTTACCTTGAAGTGTGATTGGAGTCGTTGTTCTTTGTTGTGGTATTCCCAGACTGTATGCTGTTCGCTTCGCTGGGAGGATCTTTCACAATATCGGACTTTGGTCTGTGAGAATTAGAGGGAAGAGGGAGAGCCTGACGTTAGTTTAACTGCACGATGAATCAATGCGCAGGGCTACTGAAACCGCCCCACGTTTAATAGCGCATCCTTCAAACTTACTTAGTCTTCTTGTTAGTGTTCTTCTTTGTAACACTGGGACTGATTTCCTTCTCTTTGTCAGGTTTTTCTTTGTCTTGTTTTTCCACTTTCTCCTTCTTCTCCTTCTTAGGCGGCGGTGGGGTTGCATATTGCTGGGCAACTTGTTGTGCCACCAGCTGAGAGTTTATTCTAGGTTTTCTATAATGACAATAAAGAGAGAGATGTAATCAATTTTACACAGTAAAAACGACTTCCCCAAAAGCAGCATGAAGATTTATTTCAGCAACCAAGGAAGATTACTCCACTTATAAAGAACCAAACGGATGTCCTTATTTAATGGGAAGTACTACTGCTGCTACCAAACAAGATGGAAATTTTAACAACTAAGAAATACTTCAAACTGCTATTTTACCAGTTTTTAGCCTCATCTGATGTTAAGCATAATGCTCCCTTTCTTCCATCCAAGTCATGAAATCACAGTGAAAAAAGCAGCTTTCAAGAAGTTGCCAGTCACGCTCCGTGACTACACTTTAAGAGAAGGAACACAGGGAATGATAAAATAAATTTCCTGATAAACATCAGTCGCCTTTCATATCTTCCGATTTAATTTTTCAAATGAGCTTCTGGTTCCCTGGAGCAAACCTCACACAAATAACAAAAGAAGGTAACTGAGATTCCTTTGTCCCAGGCGCCGGGACCGAATCTCCCTGGCCGGAGCCCAGCAGACAAGTGGGCATTCACGCTGCTTCCACGGGGAATGGCCGTGCCAGCCTCCGACACACCGTCCCCGCACAATTGTCTGTGGTCCCCGATGACGCTTGGACAAAACACACAAACCGTCTTTCCATTTCAAATTACACACACAAAAAGTAACCTCTCCCTCCCTGCCTGGCATATCACAAAGCGGTTTACACTCTGGATACTCCTGACTATTCCAGATCGATTGGAGCCCTTTGACACGCCAAAAAGATCTACAGTCCCTGTGTCCACACAGCTTGGCGGGGGGAAGAAAACCAGAGTATCAACTCCACTAGTCTCCTATTATGAGCTGAATGCTAATTGCAACAGTTGCTCAAGTTTGTCTGTAGCCGTTACGTTGGTCATAAATATGATTCCAAAGTTCTATGTAGATCAGCCTATGCCAGGTTGTCAATGAAAGCAGTATGCAAGTATCATTAAATCTACAACCAGACCACAGACACCCAAGGGTTTCTGCTGCAGAGCTCTACCTGTACCTGGTTTTTACTACAAACAGCTAGAGAGACTTCAAGAAGCTACTTCGTGGTTTCGCATGTTGTGTTTTGCTGTTTGGGGGGGGTTTTAAGTACAAAACACTAATTGCTCATAGAGATAATACAGACAACGTAACAGCCAAGAAGTTCTACTCCTGTCATAGGAAAATCCAAGTATCTAAATCAAGCCTTTCTTGGCACTGTTTTTCTGTACAACAGTACCAAGATGCTCTCACTGAAGTCAGATACACCCAAATTTCTGATTTCACTACCACTAATCTATGTAACAGGTTGTAATCAGGTGCCTGACCCATCTCAACACCATCGGCATTTGGATTCTTCCCCCAGCACGGAAATTATACCTCATTTTATGCTACAATTCACATACGTTTCTAAGTGAACAAAGCTGATCCGGTATTCAGCCTTAACTAACTATAATGTTCAAAACATTTTGCAGATCAGATCAAGCAGTTACCTGTTCTACAGAACAGTGAAGATACCTGGCAACCTTACACTTCAAATCCCATCTACAGCGATATGTCTGTATGACTTGAGAAGAAATAAGAAGTTTTTTGGTTACACGGAAAAGATTTTCAGACTGATACAACCACACTAAAAGCTGACAACAGCAGCTTGTGTCAAGCAACCTGCTGACTGCCTACTCAAAAAAAAAAAAGAGAGGAAAACAAAAAAGAGATAAAGCATCAAGAAACCTTCAGAGAAGGCAGATACCATCTCCCTACATGATTAACCTCACTGCTTGAAGCTGCCACTTCTGCCCAGACTTACAGTTATTTGCTGTTTACACAACCAGCCCAGTCAGAAACCCGAGCCATTCACGGGAAATCCCAGTTCAAGAACCTGAGAGCACGTTCAAGTTTTTCTATTTTGCACGACTCTGACATGTCTGCTTGTGATGTCATTTCCAAGCTTTATGTCCAACCTCCCCAGCTGCTGTTTCTGTTGCAGGAGTGCTGCACTGCTCAGATGAAGATACAGATTTTTAAACAGAAACATCAGCTAAACTAAAATTAAAAAAATACATAAATATGTCATATTGCATTTCCCTAGAGAAAGCCAGACTCCAAAAAAGACCAGCCTTAAAGTGCTCCTGTGGAGACGCTTCACCCCGTGCTCTTCCTCTCCTTACCCATGTCTGTGACAGCATGCTGCATTTCACATACTATCACAGAATGCCAGGGGTTGGAAGGGTCCTCAAAAGATCATCTAGTCCAATCCCCCTGCCAGAGCAGGATCACCTCGATGATGTTACACAGGAAGGTGTCCAGGCGGGTTCTGAATGTCTCCAGAGAAGGACACTCCACCACCTCCCTGGGCAGCCTGTGCCAGTGTTCTGTTACCCTCACTGAGAAGAAGTCTCTTCTCAAATTTAAGTGGAACCTCTTGTGTTCCCGCTTGATTCCATTACCCCTTGTCCTATCATTGTTTGCCACCGAGAAGAGCCTGGCTCCATCCTCATGACACTCCTCCTTTATATATTTATAAGCACTAATAAGGTCACCCCTCAGTCTCCTCTTCTCCAAACTAAAGAGACCCAGCTCCCTCAGTCTTTCCTCACACGGGAGATGCTCCGCTCCCTCCATCATCTTAGTTGCTCTGCGCTGGACCCTCTCCAGCAGTTCCCCGTCCTTCTTGAGCTGAGGGGCCCAGAACTGGACACAATATTCCAGACGTGGTCTCACCAGGGCAGAGTAGAGGGGCAGGAGGACCTCTCGTGACCTACTAACCACCCCCCTTCTAACACACCCCAGGCTGCCATTGGCCTTCCTGGCCACAAGGGTCACAGTGCTGGCTCAGGGTCATCCTGCTGTTTTATCCCGCAGTTTTATCATTTTCTGGCCAGCCACGGACACACCTAGTACAACTTCTCCAAAATCCGTATTTGCATTTTCCTCACTGCACGCCACGATGGCCCATTGGCAAGGGCATAACCCAAAACTGAAAGTGAAGAGAGCGAGCAGCAGCGTGCGCGGGCAGGGACCTGCAATGGGGTTTCTGCCGCTGTGCGGAGAAAGGGAGCGCAAAGCTGCCGAGACTGTGGTCAACACCAAGCATGTTTCAAGATCTGCTTGCTATTAGAATAGATTTATTTTATTCTTTAAAAAATAATGCAAATAACCCAACAGTTTTCCAATTCTGAATCTGGCTGTTTCGTTCACATTAACGGCAAACTTAGGAAGGTTAAAAAAAAAAAAAAAGCTAAGTTAAGCAACTGGTGTACTAATAATAATAGAAGTAATAAAAACCTTCACATAAGGCCCACACTGCCACTACAGCCAGGATATGCTGGTTACAAGCCCTTTAGGAAGAAGCCAAGCAAAGCAAGTAGAGCAGCACATTTTTAACCACAGCAAACTATAACCATAGTAACCACAACTGAGTAAAGAAACTGCAATATCCAAAGCTTGCTCCAAGTTTCCCTGCCTCCCAAAACCACGCTGGAGGAGCTAACACTGATCGAATGGAGCAGCCCTAGCACGGACCATCCCTCCAGACACCGTTCCTGCCTCTCCAGCCTGCCGTGCCGCGTCCCCGTCACGCTGGTTGTCACAGCGGCCACCCTCCTCGGGGGTGTTGTGAGCTCTTCTCCAGCTGCAGCAGCAGGTAGCTCACATACTGCCTTCTAGAAATAAGGAAAAAAAGAAATTCAATAATACTCTGCAGTGGATCCTAAGTCATCTTCCCTTTCAGAATCTGAACAGGGAAGAAAAAGTACCAGTGGAGAGACACGAGCCTCATTCCCAGTTGGGCTGAAACAATTGAACATGCTCTGGTTTCTACCACAGAATCTGGAGTCATACAAACAACGATCCCTTCTTATCTTTTCTGGGTTTTTTAAACACTATAATGTGTCTAAAAAATCCTGCCTCTAATTTTGTTCTGGCTGACTTTCTTTTTTAAAATGATTTTTTTTTTGCCATCTCCAAATAGAATGCTTCCACCCAAACACATCACTGTTATATTGCCACTTGAGCAGAATAACATGAACAGAAATTTGAAACCACTTCTAAATTTTTCGTAAGAATAAACAGCCACAGAAACACGGATGGACCACTTTTTACCCTGAAATCCACTCATCAGCTTACCTTCTGTAACATTAAATGGTTTATATAAACAACAAATACATCCAAGTGACAAAAATCAAACCCCAACGCAGCCTCTTCCAAGCTTTCTTACGAGTACTCGCACTTAAGAAACAATTATATTGTCATTTACCAGAAAGGTTTAAAGATTCAATATTACGCGCAAGCCACAGTTAAAAAGTATCAACTTCAAAAAATCATTTGTAGAGATGCAATGCTTAATACTAGGCTCTGTTCTTGAATTCCTAAGCAGACTTCAAAAGGCACAGGGCTCCACTGCTTCTTGCGGGTCATCAGGTCTTCCCAACGCAGGGAAGACCACGCGTGTTCTCCATCCCTGTCTCTCAGCCTGTGCTGGGTCCCCTCTGACACCAGAAGCAGATGAATAGTATAAAAAGACATTTTCAACGCGACTATTTGAAATAAGTACATTTCCTTCTACCCAAACATTAAGATAAAGCTATGCTTAGTTCAGACAATTTTCCCCTAATTTAAGCAACAGCCTGTGTAAAGGCTCAAATCATCAAGATCCAACACTGATGTGACAAATGAACATTATCCTTCTTTCTTCAACATAAGAAAGATTGTCTTCCTAGAAGAGCATTAAACTGAACTATGCTTTCAACATTACATTCAACAAAAACTTGTTGCACATTATTTAAACTATAGTTTACATCACAGGAGTAGGTATTTGTGGAACAAGTCACAATCTTTGCAGCAAGGATGCACCGATGCATAAAAAAGCTGAAACACAACGTGTCTGTTCCAAGTGCAGTTTTGGCACCCAGGTCTTTACCACCAACTATCGTGAACGATGCACACAAGTATTCTTTACTACCTTTTAGTAACAGGCCTGCACAGA